GGTTCCAGTTACATAACTGACATGCATTATGAGTTACTTCTCTACCTGTACGGAAATCATTATCCATCATGGGTAGGGAGATCAAAGCAATATGAAGTTCTATTGTTATGCTGCCACACTCAGGCAAACAGACACTTCTCATGAGATTTTTTCCCCTGTGAATTTTGTTTTAGGGGATGGCATTTCCTCTATCTCTAATCAAACTTTTAAAAAGAGATGGATTCTAAGAACTCAAAGGGTCCACTGAAGCTAGCTATGAATCTCTTTGTTACCAAATGTTAAGGCTACAGAAAGCTTTCTATATATATAAAAAAAAAATGAAATATCATTGGATGTTTCTTAAAAAGTGAAATATAAAATCCTGAGCCTGTGATTAAAATCTCAGCTTAAATGACAGCTTCTTAGCCATTCTTTATCACATCAGCCTATTTTAATTCTCAGCAAAGCACTTTTTTGTTTGTTTGTTTGTGTGGCTGGCCACTCACTCACCTATTCACAAATTTAAAACATAAATTCCATGAGCAGATATATTCAATTCACCACTGTATTCTCTGGCATTTGATAAATAAAAGTATTAAATGACTGAATGAATACATAAATCACATAATAAATTAATGATTTAAGTGGATTATTTATAAGTCTGTTATAAAATATTGATTTCTTTCATAAAGCAACAAATTATTCCTTATGTTTTATGTCTTTCAAGTTCAAGGCCAGGTTTTTTAAAATAAGAAATGCCTATTCTTGTGTCACTAATTGTTGGGTTCAGAAGTAAAACATTAACTGAGTTAGGCAGTAGGGATAGTTTTAAGGAAAATTACCAAATAATAGGAACTATACTGAGCAGTCTTCATTCATCATCATGGAGTTATTTGATTTAGAACAATTTTTCCCCCCAGCAAATAAACATCTATTTAAATTCAGCCTAATTTCTTTGGTGTTAAGCAAAATGCTTTCTTGCAAGTAGACAAAGGAAAGAAACCTCTTCTACCTTCTTGAGATAAAATGGGGAAAACAGGACTACGAATCAGGATACCTGGATTCTAATCCTTACTCCTGATATTTTTATTAGAAAAGTTTTCTATCTTCAGACAAGTCACTGACTCTTGTTGAGCCTTGTTATTTTATTTTATTTTATTATTTATTTTTTTATTTTTTATTTTTTTTATTAAATTATTATCTGTGTACATATTTTAACATTGTTTCCCCCCCCCCCCTCCCCATACAGAACAGAGCCTTGTTATTTTAAAACAGATGAATAAATGAATCCTGGGTTTGAAGATAATCTCACAAGGCACTGAAGTCACTGGCTGGCCATGCATGAGCTTAGACTGTATCTCTTAGGAGACTTCACCCCAGGTTGGTGAACCATGCCCTCCAGTCACCAGGCCTCAGTACCCTATTCTCCTAAGGGAGTTGACATTAAATCCACCCGTTTCATCTGGAAATCCCAAGGCCTAACTCCCACACCTTCTCCTCGGTTTGTCTTTGACAGCACATGACCTCCACAATGAAATGAACTGCTCTGGCAAATGACCCAGCTCATTTCTCTTCCACCTGCCAAACCTCCCACTGTATCTTCTGGAATAGCTGCATCATAATCATTCAATTCCCTTACATCTTTGTGTTCTCAGAGTGTCCCCTGCACCTCCTTGCTTTAACTCAAATCTTGTTTCCCCCAAAGGTACCACTTCTATATTCCTCAGTGTTGGCTTTTGTTCTTATATGCTCCACCTACCTCTTTCTTTTGGCCCATTTTATCACTGCTAGACAGTTACTCCCCTCATGTGCCTTACAGATGTTATCTCCTGACTTGCTGTTAGCTCCCAGTCATTCATTAAGGATTTTGTCACTGAGCATACAGTTTTCTTCTCATCGCTAAGACTTGAGATCACCCAGGTAATTTCAATGTCTTCAAAGATGACCCATCCAACAACTGATATTCCCATGTTCATTGCTCTTCTCCTTCATCCCACCTTAGTCAGTCTCTCCTACAGTCATACCCTGCACTTTACCATTACCTCAACCTGGTCTAACCTATAATAAAAGCGTAATATGCTAATTATTGCCCCGTCCTCCTGGATGACCTTCCGGACGAAGGGATGAAGCCAGGGCTGTGAGGGAAGCCCTGGTCCCAGGTGCCAGAGGGAAGCCGGTGCCAGAAGCTGGGGAAAGGAAGGCCTACTTTTGCATGAATTTTGTGCATTGGGCCTCTAGTCCCAAAATAATTGAAGAATTCTGCTCTTTGACTAAAACCACCTGTCCTTTTAATTTTCCTAATTATCCCAACAACCCCTCCTCTCCTTCTCCTCCTCCTTCCTCCTTCCTCCTTCCTCCTTCCTCTTCCTCCTCCTCCTCCCCCTCCCCCTCCCCCTCCCCCTCCCCCCTCCTCCTCCTCCTCCTTCTTCTTCTTCTTCTTCTTCTTCTTCTTCTTCTTCTTCTTCTTCTTCTTCTTCTTCTTCTTCTTCAATATTATCAAGCTCTCTAGGAGGCTGCCTTTCCTTTGCCCAATCAGTCCTTGCCTTCCTTTCCCCCCCAATTTAGATGCCAGTTCCATTTTGGTGATGTTCTTGACAATATCCTACCCCCTGTCTGTAAAATACTAGCTCTGGATGAACTCAACCGCAGTGTCTGTTTTTCCTATGGCCCATGAAGCTGTGGACTGCTGGAAAGTCACACAGGATAGGATTGGTTTCACCACAAGCTCATGGTTATTAATCTCAAATTGAACCTGAACTTTCTCTAACTATTTTACTATATTTTATAAATGAAGAATGGCAGAATATGCCAGCTCAAAATATACCACTAAGCATAATGATTATTTGGAGCTAAAGGCAAATGAAAAACAGCAGAGGCAAGAAGGGTGATCACAAAAGCAAAACTTAAAAAAAGATATTTTATCAGCTGTCCCCTTTCCTTAATCTATACTCCTCAGTAGGAGGATAGGTGTGTCTTTTGTACCCTTTACAGTAGAGACAGCTCTTGCTCAGGTCAATGTGGACCTCCATATTGTGAAACCCAGTGGGCATTCTGTGAGTCTCACTTTCCTTGAACTCTCTGTAGCTTTAGATACAGCGGGTCAAGCCGGGTCTCCTCCCAGAAACACCCTGTTCCCTTAGCTTTGGATATATGACAACCCCTCATTTTCCTCCTTCCTCTCCCTAACCTGTCATTAAAGGACAGAATTCATCAATACTCATACCTGGGCTCTCTTTCCTTCTCACTAGGTTATCTCATTGTGGAAGGAATTGTGAGGGCAGTGGGCAATAGATTAAAAAAATGCTTCCAGAGAAACCTAAGCAGACGGACAGATACTGATTCAGAACCTCTACAGCTATTTTTTCCTGCATTTTAAATAAACACATTTTTAAGCAGCACTTTTCTAATGTAATTAACATTCCAAATGTATATTCAGCAATAAGGTAAACAAACAAATAAAATTGGATATCATTGAAAAGTGAGAGAAAAATAAAAAAACCACGTGGCTTTTAATTCTAAATATTTTCACTCTATTTTTCTAGTTTCTCCTTTAGAACAATGTTTTGTGGGGAAACAACAACAACAAACAAAACAAAACAAAACAGGGAACTATGAATCGGGGTGATCTAGGAAACCTGATTATGGCATATTCATATGCATGACCAATAGAAAATTAAACTATTATCACTGGAGTAGATTGTTTACAATGAGGATACAGAAAGTATGCATGGCAGATTTGAGGGTGACCTGAAGCTGAGAAGGTTGGTGAATTGTTGGGGGTACAATCCAGAGCTAAAATGTAAGCAAGGTAGTCAAAATGAATTGTGAAGACTGAAGCTCTGACCTTAGATCCAAATAATGACTTACAACCACCACTCTATGTATGGGGGAGAGAGGTCGGAAAAGATTTAGTTCCTTTGACAAACTCCAGAACATTCAGATTAATTGAAAGTGCAAGGAAGGTTTAATGTGAGAGACTGCAAAAAAGGGCTAGTGCTACTATTAAGAGTCTGACCAAAAGGAAAGATCATCTGCACTTCATGCTCTACCTGTCAGCCCGCTGTCCAGAACGTTTATAAGGTGCAGTGACACAGCAGAGGGCATCTAGGAGGTGAACGAGGCACTGACTGGTTTAGTACAGTGGGAACAACAAGCCTCAAAGTCATGGCATTGGAGCATGAGTGGAAAAAAATTAGCTATATTTAGGTAGCACAATACTTAGGAGATGTGACTGTGAAACTGCTGAAAAGCTGCTCTGTGAAAATGGGGTTCGTGTAATTATAAATTTCTCCAGGGGGAAGAAGTATAGCTGACTCGTGTGAAGTAACAGGAATTAAATTTTAGCACAAGGCGAGATAACACTTTCTAATGACTGACCTGCACCAGTGGTGCCTGGGGTGGACCTGAGCAAGCAGCCCCAATTCTTGCCTGGGGAGAGCCCAGGTGTCAGGAGGTGGAGCAGTGATTTCCGTCCTGGCTGTGGGGCTCCTCCTGCTTGAGCTGCTCCGGTTGCAAAAGCAACAGATTGGACTGGCTCTTTTACCTACAAACCTTAGGTTCACTTATATGTCAGGTTACCTGCCTTTGTTTTCTTTAAAAAAAAATAAAAAAAATCCGGCTATGGATAAACAAGTTGGTGTTACTCTTGCCACGCTGTTTTCAAAATAACCCAAACTGCAACACCAAGAACACAAAGGGCAATCTATGACCGGGGACCCAGGGTCCCACCCTAGAAGGCCAGTCAACCTCGGTGCCATTCCCTTTCCAAAGGAAACTGTTAAATCCAGCGTGGACCGTTTGCCGCCTCCCTGAGGTCTGCCGGCTCAGGAGGGCAAGTCAGAGTCTTCAAGGAAATCCAGACCGGCTCTTCCTCCCTCCCTGCCCTGCCGGGCGCTCAGGACCCTTCGGTGGAGGGGGGTGGGGGGGTGGGGAAACACGCTTTCCACGACTCCGCCAGCCCCCGCCAGCCCCGACCGCAACCTTCACGCCGTACCAGGGTGCTCCCCTCGCGACCCACTTACCTCCTTCACTGTACGGCCCAGCCACCTGGGTTTGAGTCCCGCCTGAGCTCCGAGGGCCGGGTGGACGGATTGGGAGGTGGGGGCGAAACCTGGGCGGGGACCTCCCCGAGGGAATGGAGTCCGAGTGCGGATTGGCTGAGGGGCGGCCGGGATCCGGACCGGGCGGCACTGGACGGGCACGGGCAGGGAGGCGGGGAAGAGTGCGGAGCTGGAGGGAGCACGGGGGCTGGAGGAGGAGGGCGCATCCGGACGCCGTGATGGGACTCAGGGCGCGACTGGTTCTGAAGACAGCGGGGGGTCAGGGACGGGACTTGGGGGACTGGGCTGGTGGAGGTGCGGGGCCTGCTTAGTTCTGCGGGATGGAGGCGAGCCGAGGGAAAGGGGTGGGGCGGGGCGGGTCTTCGAGGAGGCCGGGGATTGGGCATGGCATTCCCACCCAGTCCTCCAATTGGATGTGTGTGACAGATCGGGTCGGGGCGGGTACGGAACACGGGTTAGTTCGGAAGAAAGGGCAAACTGGGAGGCCGCAGGGTTTGGGCGAGGGGAGGGGTTGTAGTTAGAATAATGCCGAAGGTGTTCCGGCCAGTGTGACTCGGTTGGGAGTCGCCCTGTACACCATAAGGTTGCTGGTTCTAGTCCAGGTCCATTCCAGCACAGGCCTCAGCTGCGGGCTGGATCGCCAATGTGTGTGTGTGTGTGTGTGGGGGGGGGGGGGGGGGGGCGTGCAGGAGGCAGTTGATCAATGATTCTCATCACGGATGTTTCTTTCTCTCTCTCCCTTTCTATTCCTCTCTGAAATCAATACAAATATATTTTGTTTTCTTTTTATTTCTTTATAAAGAGGCCACCAGGAACACACCTGTAATCAGAAAGTTGGGTTTAATTAGTCGTTGCAACGAGGGAGAACACTCAAGGTGGGCAAAGGTAGGTCATGTTAATAACAGAATTAAGAATGACTTATTTGTTGTAGGGTTTGGGCTTGCATTAGGTGATTTGGGGGGAGGATTTGAGGAAATGGAGATTCATTCTGTTTTGGGTGCTGCCAAGATGTGGGGTAATTCTAACACTGGTATCATACAGCTTATGCAGAAGAGAGGGAGACTGCAAAGCTAAAACTGTAATTGATAAAGCAGCAACAGTTTTACTAGCTGGGAGAGGGCGGAGTTTGGTATTTGTGTAGTTGCAGAGTGATTGCTTTTATCTGTGTTTGGGCAAGATTATCAGGGAATCTTGTCTGCTGTCTCACTTCCTCAGGATGACAGTGACTTTGATACCGGCGTTCCATCCTGATGTTTTACAGGGACATGCCATGGCTAGTTCCTAACAATACTGAAGCCATAGGGGTGACAGTTCAGTCCCCATAGCAGCTGCTGCTTTTCTTTTTCTTACATTGAATGAATGTTACTTGAGTACATAGGTGCTGAGGCCACTGGGGAAAATGAAGCTGAGAAAGTGTGTTGTCTTAAACCTTATTAAGGGAGAAACAATAGAAAACAAAATATATACAACTAGAGGCACAGTGCACGAAATTTGTGCACTTGGGCTGGGGAAGGGTGTCCTTCACCCTGAATTGTGAGAGGGCATAGGCCAGGCTAAGGGACCCCACTGATGCATGATCAGGGCCGGGGAGGGACACAGAGATTGGCCAGCCTGGGAGGGACCGCAGAAGGGCTCCAGGGCATGTCCAGCCCATCTTGATCAGTCCCGATCAGCCAGACACCAGAAGCAAGCTAACCTACTGGCCAGAGCATCTTCCCCCTGGTGGTCAGTGCATGTCATAGGAGTGGTTGAGTGTTTAGCATCGCATTAACTTTGATTAGTTGAATGACCTACCGGATGACCAGGCACTTAGCATTTTAGGCATTTATTATGTAGGATGACTTCAGAGGTTGATAAGAGCTCTGAAAGAAGCAGTGAAGGGTGAAGACAGCAGATAGTTTGTGTAGCATGGTCAGGACAGGCTTTGCTTTTGGGGAGCTGATATTTAAACCCAGAATTGAAGGATGAAGAAGCAAACTTGCAAAAAATGTTTCTGGAAATGAAAATAATAGTTGAAAAGGCCCTTAAAAGGGAACAAACTGGCATGTTCAAGGAATGAGAGACCAGTCAGGGGTCCTCAAACTTTTCAAAGTGGGGGCCAGATCACGGTCCCTCAGAGAGCTGGAGGGCCGGACTATATGAACTACTATCAATAATTCCTACTGTAACACCTCAGCTGCGCTCACTGCCCAAAAAACCTGGCGGGCTGGATCAGACTCCTCTGCGGGCCGCATGTGGCCCACAGGCCGTAGTTTGAAGACGCCTGGATAGTGATATGGGGGAAAGTTCTCCAGATTGGGGTGGAGAGGAAGGCAGGGGCCAGGTCTGTAGACCATAGAAAGGAGTTTAGATTTTACTCTGAAGCAGCCATTGGGCAATCTAAAGCAGAGGAATCATGTGATCTTAATTAAATTTAAAAAAGAAAGTCTAGCTGCCTTGGAGGTGAGACTGAGGGTAGGCAAGAGTAGAAGCAGGAAGATCTGTTTGGAGGTTGTTAGAGAGAGTTGAAGTTGCGGGGGGGGGGGGCTCTAGGGGGGAGGGAGTGGAGGGGAAAAAGGCTAAAGATCTCAGTATTCATTATTGTACTGACATTCACTTATTCCCTCTGTTTCAGCACCTGCTCTCCACTATTAGCTATATCTGGTGTCAACTGAAAAATAATATGGGCTAGATGTTTTGTCACCAAGAAAAATTTATTCAGGAAAAAGAGAGGGTTGCAATCTGATGCAAGCAAACATGGCAAGCCATGTGCACACTCTAGCCTGCATGCCACAATGCAGGGGCATTTATAAAAGGGGGAAAGGGAGTGAAGGAAGGAGAGGTGAGATCCATAAAGGTTTGCTATAAACATAGAGTTCTTCTTGTGGGCTCCTCCCATGCAGGGTTCTCCAGATTAAGGTAGCTGTGAGAACTTCCATAAGCCTTAACTTCTCCTGCACACTCTCCTGACTGATTATATTTGCCTCAAGTTTCAGTTAGTCTTTATCACAGAGTTCTCCTAGTTCAGATACTGTCTGTTTAGCCTGGATGGAGTATAAACTTTCAATCTCCTGCCAATGTGAAAGGGGACCAATTGGTGGGGCTATGGCAGACCAGGAGTGGGGATCTGGCGATGTGTTTATTGAACGGAAAGGCCTTTAAATGATTCTCCTGTATTTAGTCCTGAGCCTTTGGAGAGTTCTTTGTGGGTAAATCGAGTTGCTTTTTTGGCTTTCTTTAAGAATGTCCTAGGATTCTGCTTATTTTAATAGGCTGTCAGATACCACCTGCCCATTTGCTTTATAACTGTCATTCCTTTTTTTGTTTGCTTTCTCACGGGGTTTAAAAGAATCTCCTTACTGTTATTTTAGTGGGGCTTAAGTAGAGAGAGAATCTAAATGTGTTTGATTTGTCATCTCATTGTTATTGGTTTACACCAAGCATGTCAAACTCAAAGGCTAACAAGGGCCAAATAAACAAGGTTAAGTTTATGTGGGTCGCAAAAAAACAAAAAACTCTGAAAGCTTTAATTTTCATAGGAATGTAGATTTATTTCAATAGAGAAATGCTGAATGAAAAGGGCTGAAATACAATAAATGGATAATTGTTAATGAGTATTCGTTGTGGGTTGCAGGTTTGACATACTTGATTTATACACATATTCATTAAATGATGTAATGACCAAATGCTGGGCATTTGAATACTTTTTTTTTTTTTTCATGAGCCAAGCCTTGTGTTATTTTTTTATACTCATGTTGGTGTTTAATGAGAAATACAAGTGACTTCCTAGAATTAATAGCTAGTAGGTGTATTTTCCTTATATGTTCTGTTGATTTGTGTTCTGAATAAGAAGACAATATCTCCCTTACATAAATAAAGCCTTTTCAATTGCCTCATATAAAAAACTAAAGATATTTTGAAGTATAGCAGAAAGAAAACAGTATAGTATAGGGGGTAAGCCAAACTGTCTGGTTCAAATCCCAGTTCTGCATTTTTCTAGCTGTGTGGCTTTGTACAAGTTTCTTCATTTTCTGTGCTTCAGTGTCCTCAGCTGTAAAATGTGGATATTAGAATCTTACTTATGTGATATTAGATGATTTCATAGACCTGGAAAAACTGAGAGCTGTGCTTGTTTCTTAGTAAATACTATAAAATCATTTCTTAAGAATTAAGGGAAAGAGAATCTTTAGGAGGGGACTGCTGGTTATTCCCCAATATTTAGTATTCTCTTGTTTTATAATAGCAGACCTTCCAAATTTCAGCTGAGTACATGGGTGCTTGGTAGAAAAAATTCATTATAGTAATTGCATTGGCCATAAGATGAAATTCTAGCTAATGGGACATCAGTGGACACTGGATGTGCAGCTTCCAAGAAATGTCTTAAAGGGGTAGAGTGTGCCTTGATCACTCCCTTGGTTTGTGGTTTCCCTGATAGTCTGAGTGCAGACATGATGGCTACAGCCCCCTTGGACCACAGGTAGAATCTGCAGGTTTGTTGGGAGCCATGAGTTGAGACAAGCAACTCCGTCTTAAGGAAATAGAATTAAGTTCTTTCTAGCAGAAGTTATGCGGTGCCCTGAGCGTTTGGCCAGAAGATAAGATTAACCTGCCGCTTAACATCTTTGCAACTTCCCCTTCCTGATCCTCCCCCATAGCTAGCCCAGCCTTGGAATGTTACACCTTGGAATGTTACGCCGCCCTGGCAGTTAGCCAATCCTGTGTTGCCAGATACCTTACCACCTTGCCACTCAGTGCCTAAACCAATTATACACTGCCAAAGACCCCTCTGCATAGGCAACCCTGCCCCCCTTTGTTTCTGTTGTATATATACAGCCATTTCAAAGAATAAAGTTGAGGCTTGATCAGAACTTTGTCTTGCCTCCATTCTTTCGTGTTCCTTGTTTGTTTCATTCTCTTAGGTGGTTCCTGCGTACCCCCGTTGTTGCCCCTCGGGCCGGGACACAGGTTGAAGATGGAAGAGCAGCAGGATGAGAGAGAAGGAGGCTGAGCCCTAACATCAAGGAACCACCACTCCAGCCCTGGACTATACTAGTATTTACATGAGAGAGAAAATCAATTTTGTTTAACTTATTTATGTGTGTTTTCTGATGTGCAGTCATGGTATGGCTTGGATGGTTTAGTCTTCGCTTATCAAAGGCGTCCCACTTTACTTTTAAATGAGCCTTCCAGGTAACAATAGTGACAGAAGGAGGTCAGGGTAGAAGATACCCGCAATGCCTCATTTTCTGGATACTAGAGGCCTGGTGCATGAAATTTGTGCATTGGAGGAGAGGGAGTCCCCTTAATCCAGCCTGCACCCTCTCCAATCCAGGACCCCTCAGGGAATGCCTGACTGCCTCTCGCAATCTGGGACTGCTGGCTCCTAACTGTTCGCCTGCCTGACTGCCTGATCGCCTCTGCCTTGCACTGCACCTGGGAGCAGGATTCCCTCCTTCTGGCCGGCTGTAGGCACACAGAGCCTGGGCCAGCTGCAGCCACAGAGGGCTGTGGGCAGGCAGCTTCACCTGGGGCCACAAGTGTAGGTGCCCAAGACCGTGGGGTGGGCGACTTGTCTGTCTCCCGGGCCTCAGCCTGACTGGTCTCCATTCCTCTCTCACGAGCTCATTTGTCCTAGCTGGTTCCCATGATGGTGTGAGGGTGTGACATTCATTTGCATATTAGTTCTTTATTATATAGGATGCTTCTCAAGAGGTAGCTGTCACTTCTGGGTACTAAGACTTTTTTTCTTTATCTTATAACCTTAGAGCTATACTAAGAAGTACTAGGGGGGAAAAAAGACAAGTTCAACTTAGAAGTTCCTAAATAATTTTCCATCTTACATTCTTGCATTAAAGAGTTATGTTCTTGGAAGTTGCTGGGAGTAGATCTTACGCATTCTCACCACATACATACACACACACACACACACACACACACACCTGTTGTAATTAACCTAATTATTAATAACAGAAAAGGAGCAAAGGGAAGACTAAATATTCTAGGCATGTCACTTTGCCAGGAAGCTTCAGCTTTCCATATCCCAGGGAGCCACTGGTCCATTCCCCACAGATCACTGGGGGAAGATTCTGGATGGGGAGGAGATGGACGCATGCCCTGTGGAGTTGGGAGGCCTCATAAAGGTGCTTACTGTCAGTCACACTTGGGAACAGGTCACACTTGGGCACATGGTCACTGCAAGCAAAGGAAGATTTGAAATATTTAATGCCCTTGAACAAAGGAGTTTGCTGTCTTGTGCACTTACACTTTTGGCTCTTTGGGAACTCTTGCTGTAGGGGTGCACTCTCTTGGCTCCCCTACATTCACCTGGGCCCTGGGCCATGTGGACTCACACACAATGGACTAATGCCCTGGTCGGCAAACTGCGGCTTGAGAGCCACACACGGCTCTTTGGCCCCTTGAGTACACTAATTAAGTTAATAACAATGTATCTACCTATGTAGTTTAAGTATTAAAAAATTTGGCTCTCAAAAGAAATGCCAATTGTTGTACTGTTGATATTTGGCTCTGTTGACTAATGAGTTTGCTGACCACTGGACTAATGGACTGAAACTAGCCTGATGCTGAACTGGACCTGGCTCCAGTATGAAATGGAAGCTCTGGACACTGGCTTTGCTTCTAGCTCTACTGAAGCCCCAGCTGCCCCTCTTGCCAGACTGGACTAAGGGAAATGGGACTTGGGAAACCCAGGGATGTAATTCCCAAGCAAATAAAAATTATCCTTTGTTACGAGTCCCAGAAAATTATTTTTCTCAATATATCATAAGGACTGCACCCCCAGCACTCAGTGGGGAAAGGGATACCCCATTTCCACTGGTAACACACACACACACACACACACACACACACACACTCAAACACACACATACACACATATCATTAACTGTGAAATACGTGAGGCAATGGATGTGGTAATTATATGGTCTTGGCAGTTGTTCCATAATATGTCCTATATAATAAAAGCCTAAAATGCTAAGTGTCTGACCATTCATTCAACCAGTCACTATGACGTGCACTTGACCACCAGGGGGAAGACTCTCCAACCGGTAGGCTAGCTTGCTGCTGGGGTCAGGCTGATCAGGACTGGGGGAGACAGGCCAAACACTCTGGAGCCCTACCACGGTCTTTCCCTTGCCCCAATCGATCATATACTGATGGGGTCCCTCTGTCTGGCCTACAGGGATTGGGATGAAACCAGCTCTTCAACATCCTCCAAGGGTCCCGGATTATGAGAGGGCATAGGCCAAACTGATGGAACCTAACAGTGCACCAATCCGTGCACTGGACCTCTAGTATGTATATAAAATTATTGCATTTGCCGGTGTGGCTCAGTGAGCAATGACTTATGAACCAGGAGGTCATCATATATTAATAGATTCTGGATGATGGCTCATGTCTGGGTTGTGGGCTCAAGTCCCCTGTAGGCAGCCAATCTATGTTTCTTTGTTACTGATAATTCTATCTCTCCCTTTCTTCTTTCTCTAAAAATAAATAAAAAACATTTAAAAAATAAGAGATAAAATCACATTTTACATAGTAAATATGTACAATTATATTTATCTAAAAAGAGTTATGCCCATTTTTTCAACCCCATATAGTTATTTTAAATGCAATATTTTTTTGGTATGTACTATGAAAGTAAATTGATGTTTTCCAGCCAGGTAATAATAGCTGTACAAACATTATGTATTTCAAATATCATAATAGATATTGTACATTTACCACAGAAAGGCTGCCCAGGGTAACTATGTATCTATCTACGTGCCTTCCTGTCTGTCTATCCACATGAGCATTTGGCTGGATTTACAGCAACTTAATATTAGCAGTGGTTACTTGAGTCAGTGAGAAATTTTTCACAGTATCTGAACAAATTTTATTTTTATTTTTTAAAATATAATTTATTGATTTTTTTACAGAGAGGAAAGGAGATGGATAGAGTTAGAAACATCAATGAGAGAGAAACATCAATTAGTTGCCTTCTGCACACTCCCTACTGGGTATGTGCCTGCAACCAAGGTACACACCCTTGACTAGAATCGAACCTGGAATCCTTGAGTCTGCAGGCTGATGCTCTATCCTCCAAGCCAAACCGGGTAGGGCTCTCTGAACAATTTTTTAAAAGGCGTGGACTTAGTGTGTGGCTTCTGGTTAATAGTGTTTGAATTCATCATTGCACAAGTGAGAATCCCTAACAGCACCTGGTAGGAATTGCCCTTTTAAGGAAGGGTATGTTTCCTCTCTCAGTGTGGCTTCACCTATGGAATTCCTGGTTCACATGCAGGATGGAGCTCTAAAGCTTTTCGAGGCCTCTCTCTTTCAGGCTTTGTGCAGGCTCTCAGCTCCTGGAGGGTTTCAGGGGGACTGCCCTTTGCTCCCTCTATTTGTCTTAGGGGGCAGTGTCCTCTTGGCACTGCTGCTAGTTAGCACAATATGCTTTCTGTCAGCTAGATCTCCAGAGCAATGGCAGGAACATAAATCAACACTAGGTTCTCTAGGTCTATGAGGAAGGAATAATGATGAAATCCTTTATGGAAACAGAGAGCGAGAGGGAGAAGACTGTACTCTAAATAGTACATGAATTTAAATAACTATAGAATTCCTATAATCTTCAATATGATATTAAACAAATGTTAAACTTTCAGGGAAAAGCATGAGGAATGGTGCTGGGATGATAAACTATTCATTAAGTTGTTCACTCGTGTGTTTAAAAGTTTTTATTATAGGTGCCAAGAGCCTTTCTAGATAGATGAGTCCGTGATAAACAAAATAGATAATGTTCTTGCCCACTTGTATTCTAGTGAGAGAGACAAACAATAAACATGAACAAATTGGTGATAAAAGATACCCTGTGCCGGGACCGGTTTGGCTCAGTGGATAGAGCGCTGGCCTGCGGACTGAAAGGTCCGGGTTCGATTCCGGGCAAGGGCATGTACCTTGGTTGCGGGCACATCCCCAGTAGGGGGTGTGCAAGAGGCAGCTGATCCATGACTCTTTCTCGATGTTTCTAACTCTCTATCCCTCTCTCTTCCTCTCTGTGAAAAATCAATAAAATATATATTAAAAAAAAGATACCCTGTTTCCCCCAAAATAAGACATGTCTTATATTAATTTTTTCTCCCAAAGTTGCGCTAGGTCTTATTTTCGGGGAAACACAGGTAGTGATAAAGTACTACTGTGAAGAGTAATAATAATGTTGGCCACTAGATGGAACCCATTGCTTTCTTCATTTCTTTATCAATCAACTCCATGAGAGACACTGAGCATGACAGACACACTGTTGACTAAGTAGGTTTTTTAAGCCAGATGATAGATGCTGTCTCTCTTTCTATCTCTCCCTTTTAAATTGGATTTCTTTTTTCCACTAATTGATTGATAAGAGAAATATAGTTAAGACATACTATGGAGCCATCTGAGATATCTTGGGGTAGAGGGATTAGATCAATTCCTTCCTAAATCAGAAATCCTCTCCTCTCCATTTCTTGGGTATTTAGTTTTTTGTATTATTTAATTTCTGTCTTCACCACTAGACTATGAGCTCCTTAAGAGAGGGAGTACAACTATATTCCCACTCCTTGGCAGAATGTGATTCGTACTTAACCAATGTTTTTGAATGAATGAACCCTGTAGCCTAAGCAATGTCTGCTTTTCATGACATTGAAAAGCATCTAACTCCCTAGAAACTCCGTGTAGAACATAGTTTTTGGGGAAAACAACTTTGAGTAAGTTTTCCTGTCTTGAGTTCTATGAAATCCTGTCTGTCATAGAACTCATAGTGAGTGGGAAGGATAGTGTGTGTGTGTGTGTGTGTGTGTGTGTGTGTGTGTGTAGTAGGCATATTATGTGGCACTGAGTTCTGAGCCATATTTTTTCCTCTTTCTCTTTGGATAAAAGATATATCACACTAATAAAAGAGAAACGTGAAAATTGACCATCCCTCTGCTACACCCACCAGCCAATCAGGAGCAAGTTTGCAAATTAACCCAACAAAGATGGCAGCATCCATGGAACTGGAGCAAGTAGGAGGCTTGGGTTACCCCTGGTGATGGAGGAAACTAAGCTTCCTGGCTGCTGCTGAACGAGTGGCTGGAGGCCTGGGTCACCAGGGGATGTGGCCAGCCTGAAAATGGCCTTCAGCACGTAACCCAGGCTTGCCATACCCCATGGGGTGACCTTGGCCAGCCAGCAGTCCTTCACCCAGGCTGGTCAGGCACCCCAGTGGGGACCCTCACATTGAAGAGGGTGTGGCAAGACTGAAAACAGCCCTCAGCCCCTCAGCCTGGCTGGCCACGCCTCTCCCCTCCCCCCCAGCAGAAACCCCTCACTCATGAGGGCATGGCCAGACTGCAAACCACCACTTGGCCCTTGCCCAGGCCACCTCACACCCCAAGGGAACTTCTACCCTGATCTGGGACACCCTTCAGGGCAAACCAGCTGGCTCCCCACCTGCTCACTAGGCCTCTATCTATATGAATAAAAGGGTAATATGCTAATTAGACTAGGAGACCTTCCAGACGTTCTTCTGGACAAAGCCATGGTGGCGGAGCTGAGGTAGAGATGGTTAGAGACCAATAGGGGAGGGCAGTTGTGGGTAATCAGGCACAGGATGGGATGGCAGTTTTGGGTGATCAGGCTGGGGGGAGGGGGCCGTTGGGCGTGATCAGGATAGCGAGCAGGCCACCAGTGGGGGGCAGTTGGGGATGATCAGGACAGCGAGGGTGGGCAGTTTGGAGTGAGCAGGTCATCAGGGGAGCAGTTTGGGGCGAGCAGTGGGGAGGGAAGATGGGCATAAGTAGGCCAGCAGGGGGGGAAGTTGGGGGCAAGCACACTGGCACAAGGGGCAGTTGGGGTGATCAGGCTGGTGAGGGGTATTTGGTGGTGAGCAGGCAGACAGTCAGGCAGAGTGGTTTGGGGCAGTCAGGCAGGTAGGCAGGTGAGCGGTTAGGAGCCAGCAGTCCCAGATTGTGAGAGGGATGTCTGACTGCCAGTTTAGGCCTGATCCCTATAAATTGGCAGTAGGACATCCTTTGAGGAGTCCCAGATTGGAGAGGGTGCAGGCCTGGCTGAGGGACAACTCCTCCCCGTGTACCAAGTTTGTGCACTGGGCTGCTAGTGTGTGTGTACACACACACACACACACACACACACACACACACATTTATTTATTTATTTATTTAATTTCTCTTTATTGTTGATAATATTATAGCTATCCCCTTTTCCCCCCATTAACCCCCCCATACCCTCCTGCCCCCTACAATTGACATATTTTTAGTGCTAAGCGAATCTTAACAAATAATAGGCACATGCTTTTGTCAGGGATAACTCTAAAAATAAGGGTCTTGAACCTTCTTCTCTACAATGAGTAAAAGTAAAATCATAAAAACTACAAGGGAGTTGGAATCTAAGGACATTCATACATCATGATAGATGCCATAATCTATTGTTCTTAGAATGAAGATAGAAGCATAGAAGTTCATGTGTGTTTAGTTATATTTCTACCTAAGTATTCCATTTTCAAAAAACACCTATTGTAAATGGTATTGTTTTTTAATTTTTGGTTTCCAATAGTCCATTGCTTTTATATAAAAATACAGTTGTTATGTGGATTTTTGTGAATTGACCTTGAATCTTACAACCTTGTTAAACTCACATATTTGTGCCAAGAGTTTTTGTTGTTGTTGTTTTCCTTTTATTGTTGAAGATTCCCTGGGATTTTTCTATGTGAATAATCATAGTGTGTAAAAACAGAGCAGTTTTATTTTATCCTTTCTTATCCTTTCTTCCTACTTTCTTTTCCTTTCCTTTCTTCCTTCCTTCCTTCCTCCCTCCCTTCCTTTTTTCCTCCCTCCCTTCTCTCTCTCTCTCTCTCTCTCTCTCTCTCTCTCTCTCTCTCTCTCTCTCTCTCTCTCTCTCTCTCCTCCTCCTCCTCCTCCTCCTCCTCCTCCTCCTCCTCCTCCTCCTCCTCCTCCTCCTCCTCCTCCTCCTTCTTCTTCTTCTTCTTCTTCTTCTTCTTCTTCTTCTTCTTCTTCTTCTTCTTCCTTTTACCATATTGTAGGAAGCCTTTTATTATACTGTTTAACAGGAGTTGAGAAGCTGCACATTCTTGCTTTATTCCTGTGTTAGGGACAAATCATTGTTGTTGTTTTTTTTTTAATCATTAAGTATGTATGTTAACTGAAGGGTTATTTATTTATTTATTTATTTATTTTTAGATTTCTTTTATCAGCTTGAAGAAGGTCACATTTTCTCAAGTTGTGACAGTTTTCTGGATTCTAAAACTGCTTGAGTTATGCCTTGGGCAGAGTGATCAGGGAATCTCTTTTCCTTTGGTCATTAGCTTATGATACAAGATTCCGGTGGTGGTCTTGCCATTCTTTTTTTGAGATTGTCTATTTCCCTCTGAAGTTGTCTGTTCTTATTTTGGGATCCTTCCTTTAGTAAGAAGAGCTGTTCCTAAAAAGGGACAAATAAAGAGTAAATAAAGCACAGCAGTAAGCAAATCTCAACTTCTAGCTAGTTTCCACATTCATAGTTCTTTTTTGTTTTGTTTTTGAGTATTTAATTTCTTCTTGAAATTTTCTCTACCATAAATATTCATTAAAAGAGGTGTGGTGCATGGAATCCAAGCACAGGTGCGATTGGTTCCTAGGCTTGGCCGGCCATTGAAACAAAGGATCTGGTGTGGAAGGGCAGGTCCCAGCTGATCTCTGGGTCCTGGGCAGCACCTGGGCCCCTGCATAACCCCTCCTTCTGAGTTATCGGGCCCCACCAGGCTAACTCAGTGCCATTGGTCGCTACCTGGACTGGTGGGGTGATGGGGCCCCGCTCATACTCAACTTGGCCTGGCGCTGCCCACTTACCTGGTCCACCATCCTGCCACAGTCCCAATCTCATTGGGACCAATCAGGGCTGGCAGCACCTCCACTGCCACCCATTGCCAGCTCTGGGTCACAGATGCTCTCCATGTTCCACACTGTCCCATGGTGGTCAGTGCACATCATAGTGAGCAGTCGAACTCCTGGTCAAACTCCCAATAGAGGGGACAATTTGCATATCAGGCTTTTAGTATATAGGATACTTTCACTTGGACATCCTAGCTCCATGATTGCTTATCTTAAGCCTCCTTTAGCTAAGAGAGATTTTGGCTTATACCTTCTAATACAGTGGTTCTCAACCTTCCTAATGCTGTGACCCTTTAATACAGTTCCTCATGTTGTGGTGATCCCCATCCATAAAATTATTTTCATTGCTACTTCATAACTGTAATTTTGGTACCTTTATGAATCATTATGTAAATATCTGTGTTTTCCGATGGTCTTAGGCGACCCCTGTGAAAGGGTTGTTCAACCCTCAAAGGGGTTGTTACCCACAGGTTGAGAACTGCTGTTCTAATATATTGATAAACTTAAATTATAAGTTCCATTAATTCTATACAGTCTATCTGGGCAATCTTAATTATGTTTCTTTTCAAATCTTCTAGACTCTTACACACACACACACACACACACACACACACACTTACACATGACAGAAATAAAAAATTCTCAAAATCAAAGGAAGTGCCTGAATCAAATACATCAGGGAATTTGATTTAAGCCTCCACAGCTTGGGGCAAGAGTAGCAGGATATAAGTAAGGACCTCAAAGCCCCTAACTGTCCATACTGAATTTCTACAGAAAACTCACAGCACAAACTAGGAGTAGGGCATAGCAAACATTCAGGAGTGGCAGACACAGATGTGAGAGGCACGGAGTCTTTCTGCTCTTAAAGATTCTCTTAGAACCGAAATTATACTCAAACCAGATGTGTCAGAAAAACAGTGATTATAGATTCCTCAAGTTTGAAGGTGGTTCAGATATCTTACCAATCTGTGTGACCCTGTACAAGCTCATCTTTTTTGAACCTTTGTTTCTTCTCCTAAGGTATAGGTACACAGCAATTCTTGCTTCATATAATATTAAGCAAGAGATACAGATAAGATATATTTATAATGCCTAGAATATAATAGCTACCATTAATTGCAGAATCCTATATAATAAAAGGCTAATATGCAAATTGTCCCCTCGAGAGTTCGACTGCTCACTATGATGTGCACTGACCACCGGGGGTGGCACGGAACAAAGGGCCCTGTTAGCAGGAAGTAACCAGGGAAAGTTCCATGCTTTCGACCAGAAGGAAGACCCTGATTGGCCCTGATTTTGGCCAGGCCAAGGGATCCTACCTGAACACAAAGTTTTGTACACTGGGCTTTTAGTCCTATTTAAGAAAAGAGTAATATTCAAATTGACCATACCTCTGTTCTACCCACAAGCCACGCCCACCGGCCAATCAGGATTTAGAATAAAAATTAACCCAACAAGATGGCTACAGCCACGAAGCGAGCAGGAGGCTTGGGTTTCCAAGGCAATGGAGGAAGCCAAGCTTCCTGCACACCCTAGCTGGCCCTGGACTTCACTCAACGCTACAAAGTTTCAATTATAGAAGATAAATAAATCCCAACAAAAGTGGCAGCAGCCACAAAACTGGAGAGAGCAGGAGGCTTGGGTTGTCCCTGGTGATGGAGGAAGCCAAGTTTCCTGGCTTGCCTTGGCTTCTGCTCAAGACTACAAAGTTTGAATTATAGAAGATAAATAAATCCCAACAAAAATGGCAGCAGCCATGGAGCTGGAGAGAGCAGGAGGCTTGGGTTTCCCCAGCGATGGATGAAACCAAGCTTTCTGCCCTCCATGGCCTGTCCTGGCCTCTGCTCAAGGCTACAAAGTTTCAATCATAGAAGATAACTAAATTCCAGATACCAGGGCCTCCACTTGAATCACTGGGGGCATGGCCAGTCAGCAAACCAGCACAGGCCCCTCACCCAGATCACCCCATGCTCCAAGGGAACCCCCACTCTGATCCAGGACACTCTTCAGGGAAAACAAGCTAAAGAAAAGAGTAATATACAAATTATTACTAGGCCTCCCATGTACTAAGCCTCTATCCTATCTAATAAAAGAGTAATATGCAAATTGACCATCACTCCAATACACAAGATGACTGCCCCATGTGGACACAACATGGCCAACACAAGATGGCCAGCAGGGGAGGGCAGTTGGGAGGGACCAGGTCTGCAAGAGAGGCCAGTTGTAGGCAATCAGACTAGCAGGGGAGGGAAGTTGGGAGGGACCAGGACTGCAAGGGAGCACAGTTGGAGGTGATCAAGCCTGCAGGGGAGGGCAATTAGGGGTGACCAGGCCAGAGGAGGGAAGTTAGGGGTGACTGGACCTGCAGGGCAGGGCAGTTGGGGGGAACTCAGGCCTACAGGGGAGAGCAGTTGGGGGGACCAGGCTTGCAATGGAAGGCAGTTAGGTGTGATCAGGCCTGTAGGGGTGGGCAGTTAGGGGCAATCAGGAGGGCAGGGGAGTGGTTAGGAAGTAATCAGGCTGGCAGCAGAAGTGAGTAGTTGGGAGCCAGCAGTCCTGGATTGTGAGAGGGTGCAGGGTGGGCGGAGGGACACATCCCCATGTACGAATTTCATGCACTGGGCTTCTAGTCTATATATATATATAAAAGCCTAAGTGTTCCACTGTTTGACAGGTAGCTATGATGCGTGCTGACCACCAAAGGGCAGACACTCAATGCACAGGTATGGAAACATGGAACAGACTGATTAATCTCTAAGGGAAGTGGGGAGGGCAAAGGCTGGGAAGAGATTAACCAAAGATCTTATAAGCATACTAGAAGCCCAGTGCATGGATTTGTGCACGGGTGGGATCCCTCAGCCTGGCCTGTGGGGATCTGGCTAAAATCAGAGGTCTGACATGCCCTGAGGGGTCAGGAATTACAAAATGGCTGAGGGACTCTACTAATGCATGAATTCATTCACTGTGCCTCTAGTGTACTGATAAAGGACTGGATATAAAGGAAAATAAAAAATCTTTAAGAACCAGACATAGGCAGGCACCCAGTAAGGCAGACAGGCAGGGATTGAAAGGTATAAGAGGGCAAGCAAGACACTTCCAGGTTTCATGTTCTAACAGGCACACAAACAGGTCAAGAAAACAGAAAAAGAGAAACCTCAAGGTGATGCCAATACATACCCGAAGTTTAAGAGCCAGAGCCTCCTCTTGCTCTGCCATTAATTGGACCCTGTCCTGCTCCATCTTCTTAGTCAGTTGTTTCACATGTTCCTGATAACTTTTTTCTTCCTCCTCCAACATTTGCTGATTCTTCTTTTGCATTTCCTCCAGCATTTTTGCTGCAGCCTCTGCAGATTCAGCTTTCACACGTTGCACTGCCAGGAGGAAAGGAAGAACACAAATTCTTGTGGGTGACCCCCTCGCTGTTTCTTCTTTGTGAACTCACCTGTCATTGTTTCTGCTGAGTGCATTTGCCCACTGAGACTGACTTAGGCTAGTAGTAGGCATCTTTGCTCATCTGGCTTTTGTTTAAGGACCCTAGGTTCTCCAAGCCAAATTATTTAAACTTTTAAATAACCAATGAACATCTGTTCTCAACCTGTGAGTCTTGAAACTTTGGGGGTTGAAGTACCCTTTGACAGGGGTCACCTAAGACCATCGGAAAACACAGATATTTACATAACAATTCATAACAATAGCAAAATTACAGTTATGAAGTAGCAATGAAAATAATTTTATGGTTGGGGATCACCACAACATGAGGAACTGTATTAAAGGGTCATGGCCATTAGGAAGGTTGAAAACCACTGCTGTTGAGGCTATCTAGTCCCTTGACTTTCTCTTCACCTTCAATCAGCTTTTCCATATTTGTGAGAGTATTGTCTGCCTGTAGAATTTCTTCAGTCACAGACTCCTTGGACCTCAGGTATGTCTGAAGGACTTCTTTACTCTAGGACCCAGAGAAAACAGCATTAGTGATAGGAAATCGCTGGAAGCACTTATTCCTTTTCCTGTAGGAATCGCTTCGCTTGACCCTGGTTTGTGTGCTGGTCAAGGTGCCCCTGTCACAGGTTGGACACATGCTCCAGTTTGGCCAAGCCTGACACCCGATGAAGCAGAATCCTTTGTAAGAGATTGATATAAATATAGATTGAGAGTTCCTGTTCTCTGAATGAGGGGTCTCTTTTTGGAGCAGTTGGTGCTGTGGTCCCATATGGTGTGAGGAATGAAGCCATCAAGGAGAGAGCAGATTTAAGGAAAGGAGGAGGAGGGAGACTGGCAGGAAGGGAAGTGTGGGGCTGAGAGGAAAAACAGAGAGACAGATAAATGCTGGTTACCTGTATTCCCTTCCTGGGTTCCTGAAGATACTTTTTCTTGAGCTCATTCACAGTCTGCATTAAGAGATGATATCCTCCTGGTTTAGAATAAACCCTCTGCTTTATATCTTCTTCTAAAGAATGGAAGATATCCTTAAGTAAAGCCGAGCAGCGATCTGATGATGCTTTCATATTCTCTTTGTAGAAGTCATTACATCTTTTTTGTAGCTGGGCCTTTAATATGAAAGTTGGAAGTCGAAAGAGTTTTAAGAAAAGGTTAGCTTGACCTTAGGATTTTTGTAAAGGCTTCTCAAAAACCAGTGTGTGATTCCTGTAAAAGTTACAGGCACCTCACAGGAGCACATCCTTCCTCCTGACACTGTCTTTCTACTAAAATCCCTTTCTCCTTGGAGGTGAAGTTCATGGCAGAGATTGCTAGCTTTATGTTAGCATTTATGTTACCCATCTGCCGATCATAGGGGGCCATGGCCTTTTGCACTGCAGCCTAATTCTCTATTTGGGCCGAGGCCAGGACTGTGTTCTACATGCAAGGTGGGGCCCCACTGATGATGGCATGACATAGATTAGGACTAGGTTCTCTGGTCCTACACATACACCTTTAGAGAGAAACTTCTTTCAAATTGGACCAACGAATGCATATGGAAGAAATGTGGCAAAATGTAAGTCTACTCAAGGTAATTAAGACTATATCTTTCTTTACTTTTGGCTATAATATCAAATCTGTCTGGTTCCAAAAAGCTTGTAACTTGATGAGAAGCTCTAATTATTACCTGCATGTGCTTAACTAAATTATGAGAAATATTAGTTTCTGCATGAAAAGAAAAAAATGTGCAAAACTTTGTGTCAATCATAATAAAATTGGATTATTTTATTATAATAATAACAAATAGTGTTTTTTTTGGTCATTTTGAAATCTAGAAGGAATTCCTTCTCTTGTAATAAATACCCATTTTATTTTCTAACAGTACTTTGCTTTCTGAGACTCTAATCTGTATTAACATAAGAAACTGGTTTGGCTCAGTGGATAGAGCATTGGCCTGTGGACTGAAGGGTCCCAGGATCGATTCTGGCTGAGGGTGTGTACCTTGGTTGCAGGCACATTCCCAGTGGGGGTGTGCAGGAGGCAGCTGATCTATGTTTCTCTCTCATTGATCTTTCTAACTCTCTATCTCTCTCCCTTCCTCTCTGTAAAAATCAATAAAACATATTTGAAAAAAATAAAAAAATTACCGCTAATTCCTTTTGAAATAAATGGTCTACATCCTTGAAGGAATTCTTCATAAAGATTTCAATGGCCTCTTTCTCACTGGCCATGTGCAGGTCCACGAGCTCTTGGAGGGTTTCTGTGGGCAGTTCAACCTTCTCCCCCATCTGCTGGTCATAGTGCGCAATGGCCTTTTTCACTGCAGCCGAGTTCTCTATCTGGGCCAAGGCCAGGATTGCGTTCTCCATGCAGGGCAGGTCCCCACTGCTGATGGCATCAACATAGGTCAGCACCAGAGTCTCCAGCCCTACAAATAGAGAACAAAAGATAACATTTGTTGTAGGTGAGGTGAGGAAACAGTCCATTATCCATAAATCTGGTGATATCTCTCAACACTCATTTGGCTCACAGCATCAACGTCCTCAGCATTACCTAGAAGTTTGTTAAAAATGCAGACTCTCAGCCTCTGTTCCAGATGAACTGAATTAAATCCTCCTCTGGCAAGATCTTGGGTGATATGGATCCATATCAAAGAGTGAGAACCTCTGTTCTTGGCACCATGGACCTATGTTTATTGAGTGGATGTGCTTTACCCCTAAGCACCATTAAGATAGGAAATATACCTCTCAATTATGTCTCTATCATCAGTTCTGGTCCATGGTAAGCATTTATAAAATCAGTATCTGTGAAACAATTAAAAAGCACGCCTCTGCTCTGGCCAGGTGTCTCAGTTGGTTGGAGCATTGTCCCAAGCACCAAAATGTGGGTTTGATTCCTGGTCAGGGCACAAACCTAGGCTGTGGGTTTGTGCCCCAGTTCGAGTGTATGCAGGAAGCAACTGGTTAATGTTTCTCTCTCAAATCAGTGTTTCTCTCTCTCTAAAATTAGTGAAAAAATATATTATTGGGTGAGGATTAAAAAATCTCAAAATAAATTTAGAAACAAGTCCTAAATTTTATTTATTCTAGCAAAACACAGTTCAAGAGATATTTCTGTAATGATAGTCTTCTGCTAGACTTCTGCTATATATGCTATCTAATATTACAGCCACTGTACACGTAATCAGAATTTCTAAATTTATTTAATTTTAATTAATTTACATTTAATTTTAGATAAATGTAGCTACTATGCTTTTCTAATAGCTATTATATGGTATAGTACAAGTCCAGTTTATTAGGATAATTTTAAGCAATAGAGCTTTTTTATTTGTCATTTTTTATCTTTTCTCACCCATGAAATCTGACTCATAAAAATCTATTAGAAATGTTGTGTCTTCTAGAATGTACCACATTAATTCTGTATAATATAAGGGTAATATGTATCGATATGTCAACTAGAACTTGGTTGCTATGACAGGCATTGACCATCAGGGAGCAGACACTCAATGCAGGAGCTGCCCTCTGGTGGTCAATGTGCTGCCACAGGGGGAGTGCTGTTCAATCGGAATCCAGGCTCAGGGCAGGCGAGCACAGCAGCAGTGGGGCGACAGGAGCCTCTCCCTTCTCCATGAAAGTGCTAAGGATGTCCTGACATCCTTTAAGGGCTCCTGGACTGCGAGAGGGCACAGGACGGGCTGAGGGAACTCCCTAAGTGCACAAATTTCATGCACCGGGCCTCTAGTAGTAGTGGATTTGCACTTTTCAAAGTTCAAACCAGGTGGATGCTATTCCACCTTCTTTTAGTCTTAACAGTGAGAGTAATGACCCGGAAGTGGACTCACGGGATCCATTGACCTGGATGTCCCCTGAAAGAGTTTTGACATTGGAATTGGTAAAGATGTAGGAACAGAAGTCAGCAGTTTGTTGCACGAATTCGGGGTCCAGCTCATCATCATGCATTGTCTCAAGTTGGCCTAGCTTCTTCTGATTGGTGGGCCGATCAAAGATAAAGCATTTCTTCTTTGGGAAGAACTTTCGGATACAAAGTCGGGGCAGGTTAAAGTTTTCATATTTAGGACTGGGAACTGTAGAAAGGCAAAAAAGGGCTTTGTTTAATATAGGGGCTTGGAAACTTTTTCTGTAAACGTCCAAATGGTACATATATTAGGCTTTCAGGTCAAGTGGTTTCTTTTCCAAGTATTCAATTCTGCTACTATAGCATGAAAGCAGCCCTGGACCATCTACAGTACACAGTATTCACTCAGTAAAACCTATTTGTATGATAGCTGACGGGCTGCATTGGCCATCATTTGCCTGTGGGTCATAGTTTGTCAACCCTTGGCTTAGCGCATTTTTATGCTTTAATCTATTTTCTTTAAATAAATGCCCATTCCATTCCATATTCTTTGGCTAATTACAGCATCACAAACCCTAAGCAGGGAGATAAAAATCAATCTGATCACAGTACAGGGAAAGGTGAAAGAAAAAGATACTTGTTCTTAGAACAGGGGAGAAGATAATTCCAAATCAAATCTATTAACTTAGATATTAAACACGCATTAGTTCTTAGAACTAGGAAGCTGAGAAGTAGAAAACTATACATATAAAAACACTAAATAGAAAAATAAAAGATGATGGTTTCTAATGGCTTGTGGTTCCCAATAATCAGTTCTCAGTTCCCTTTACCTTTCTTGAGTTTGAGTGAATTCTGCAGGTACTCGTCTGCTGAGGTGGGTTGCCCATCTAGTTCTTCCAATTTTAGGGAAATATCCCTCAGCGTCCACACAAAATCTGGAAAGAAGCTCACAAAGTCAGCTGAGTCCTCAACCTCATTTGCGTCAGGTGAAGATTTTGCCCTTATTTTATCTGTCAGCTCTGTCACATAGCTGAGTAGCAAACTAAGGAAAAACATTGTAGGAAAACAGTGCCCCTCATGCCATATTAGTCCCACGTATTCCAAACCTTTGTTTTGGCTTTGTTTCTAGCCCAAGTGTTAATTCTTCCTGCCCTTGAATTATTTTTTATACGTTCTCTTTTGATGCTTGATTCACCAGGATTCACATTCATAGAACTAGTTTTTAAGTACAGCCCTCCCCTCTGATGTTGATGCTGTTCTGGACCACAGAAAGGATACCGCAGTTCGTCCATGGCCTGATGGTTTATGGTCCCCATGCTGTTGTACACAAAGGTGCTGCTCAGCAGTATTGCCAGGGCAAAGATCCAGGAGTCATTTTGGTTGTCACCCTGGAAATCAGAACAAATTTGGGCCAGGATTATGAGTTATTCTCATAGCACTTTTTAGTACAAAGAGTAAACGGATGCTCATTTAGTCCAGTGGCTCTTTTTAGATTAATGACTTATAAGAGGAAAACAAATCCAAAGGAAAAGAGTTGTTAGTAGGACTTGGACTTTGAATAGTCTTCTGATTAGTATTTTTGGTGACATGTATTACGACCATTGGCAGATAATTGCAAAACAAATAGTCCAGATTGGTGGGCACTCTAATGCTTTAAATGTAATTTATTTTTTTCCCATATTTTTATAGCAAAATTGACTTATGTTAGAGTAATAATACTGATAGCTATTTTATCTAGTCATTATTATTCACCTAACATTTCCATTCTTATTAAATAGTCAAAACAATGCTATGAGGCAAATATAGACCGTTTTCATTGGTTTCACAGACCAGAAAGCTGAGGTTAAAAGAAGTGAAATAATTTGCTAAGGCCACTGTGTTAATGACAGTTTAAATTTAAACAACAGTTTAGGAATTTCAAATTTTCACTTAAAGTTCTCTACAGGATATGACTCATGGCTGATTTTGTTTGTAGTACCTTTATGCATCTGTGTTAACTGTCTTAGCTTACAGCCTTTTGTTAATAGATAATTAAAATATTGTACTATGTAATGACCACTATGGTCTTCTAGGGTTCTGCTTTATATTTTCATGATCCCTGATTGCAAAACTTGGTCTCTTAGCACATAAACAGAAATGAAAAAACACACATATGGTTCAGTGACAGCTCTTATTTGAATAAAAATTAACATAATAATAATAGTAATAATAATAATAAAATTTTTAAAAAGAAAAAAATTATATAGTGTAGACAATAACCAGAAATGAGGGGATTGTCTCCAAATTGAATCTTTAATACTTACTTTCTCTTCATCTCCCAGCCCCTTAGTGTCAAGCAGAACTAGGGTATAGTTTTGTTTCTTAGGGTGAGGCACACACCACATCCAGATGCCTTTGGTGTGAGACTGAACCGTGGAGCCCAGAGAGAAGCCTTCAGGGGGACAGGAGAGGGAGGGAATTGAGTTTTCATAGCAGATGTGTCTCAAAATGGAGATAAATGTGAACATATAATCAAGGCAAGAAGTGACTACAATGAGTAGCCTGGCTGGCGTGGCTCAGAAGTTGAGTGTTGATCTAAGAACCAGGAGGTCATGGTTTGATTATGGGGCAGGCACATGCCCTGTTTATGGGCTCCATCCCTAGTGTGGGTGTGCACGAGGCAGCTGATCAATGATTCTTTCTCATCACTGATGTTTCTAACTCTTTCTCCCTTTCCTTTATTCTCTGAAATCAAGAAAAATACATTAAAAAAACTGCAATCAGTATTGATTTTACAGAGAAATAGGGAAAATCAAATATCCAATACATAAAAACATTCAAAACATTATTATAAAGACATTAACAAATTAGGTCTAGAAGAAAACTAAATAGACATAATAAAATCCTTATATGAAAATCCTTCAGCCAGTATCACACTCAATGGTGCAAGATAGAAAGCTTTCTTTTTGCAATATTAACCAAAATAGTTCAAAGACCTATATGTAATGGCTAAAACTGTAAACCTCATAGGAGAAAACATAGTGGGAAAACATCATAATATTGAATTTGGAATGATTTCTTGGATATGACACCAAAAGCATAAACAACAAAAGAAAAATAGATAAGTTGGATTCAAAATTAACATTTTATGGATCAAAGGATACAATCAACAGAGTTTCAAAGCTATCCTAAGCTATGAAGGAAAATATTTCTTAGTTAAGAGATTGATATGCAGAATATATAAAGAAGTCCTGCAATGCAACCCCAGAAAACAAGTCAATTAAAAAGTGAGCCAAGGACTTGAACAGACATTTCCTTAAAGAAAATATACAAATAAGCAATGAACACATAAGAAGATAATTTCAGCACTTGCTGTCAGGGAAATACAAATCAAACCCACAATGAGGTACTATTTCACACCCATTAGGATGATCACTATATATAAAAAAAGAAATAACAACCTGGCCAGCGTCACTTGTGGTTGAGTGTGAACCTATGAACTGGGAGGTGATGGTTTGATTCCCAGCCTAGGTTGCAAGCTTGATCTCCAGTGTGGGGCATGCAGGAGGCAGACAATCAATGATTCTCTCTCATTATTAATGTTTCTATCTCTCTGTCTGAAGTCAATAAAAACAAACAAACAACAAAATCACCACACACAGCCAAATAACAGGTATTGGCAAGAATGTGGAGAAATTAGAATCCTGTGCATTTCTGGGAGAAATGTAAAATGGTAGAGTTGCTATGGGAAATGATACGGTGATTCTTTAAAAACAAAACAAAACAAAAAAACCCCACAGAATTCTAGGAAAAGAATACAAATAATGCTTTTAAAAGGAAAATTAAGGAAAGTGGGAAGAGACAGTGAATTGACTCTTTCAGTACACAGTAAGGGAAGAAGGCAACAGTAGATAGATTAAAAGCTTGTTTTCAATATTCTTCCCCATCTCTAACTTGCTCTTCCTGTAACACCATACTCAAAGCTGGGAGTGTGGGTGGAGAGAAGGGATCTGGCAGAGCTTAGCTGGTTCCCCTCACCTTTTTTCTGCCCAGCCAGCTTGTTCATCAGGTAGGATTTGCCTGTGCGGTAGAGACCCACAATGGCCACCACCACCACAGGCTGTGTAATGGCAGACAGGATCTTCAAAGCTTCTGGGTTAACCACTAGTTGTGTGTCAGTGTTCTCAATGAGGCATACCGGGCCTGGCATGTGCTTATCTGAGGCCATGTCCAGGGTGTCACCTTATCTGCAAGCAAGGAGATGAAATGGATTAGAACTTCCATTCTAAGTAGATCAAAAACTTTCACCAGGTTATTTTGCATTCAGAAAGTGGATTCATAAAATTCCCCAACATGGCCAGAAGTTCTGTGTCTACACTGAGATGAATGAGGGGAAGATTTGTATTATTTTAGAAAGTTACAGAAGTGCAATTGAAGGAATACATTAAAAAATATTGTTATGACAAGGACATCAACATTTAACCATTTCATGAACAAAATCTTTAATTTGCCATAGAGAACTTTCTTTTTAGATTCTCATTAAAATTTTCAGACTAGAACCAACCTAGCCTGGCTCAGTGGTTGAGTGTGGGACCATGAATGAGGAGGTCAGGGTTCAATTGCTAGTCAGGTTACATGCCTGGGTTGCAGGCTTGATCCCCAGTAGGGGCTGTATAGGAGGTAGCCAATCAAAGTTTTTCTATCTCATAATTGATGTTTCCATCTCTTCATCTGACTTTTTTTCTCTATAATCAATAAAAATGTATTAAAATTTATTTGCTAGACATTAAATATAAAATAGAATAGGGTTTAGAGTACAGTTTACATCCTGGTCATATGTAAAAAACTTAATATTTATTTGTTAATCAATTCTGCAATGAATAAAAACTTTGGGAACAAATGTTTTGTCATTTGATGTATGATCTTTGGACAATTTTCACAGATTTTTTGTTGTTGTTGTTGTTGGTAATCCTCACTGGAGGATATTTTCCCATTGTTTTTTAGGGAGAGTGGAAGGGAGCCAGGATAGTCAGAGAGAAACATCAATGTGAAACAGACACATGCTCCAAATGCAACCATTCAATCCACCCTTTATCCAAGGTTTGACACTCTTAATTACTGTTCAAAAACAAGCAGGGCATTTTTCACAGGTTTAAAATATGTGTTTTTTTCTACTAGTTGTGCTTATTTTGCAGAAATGAAGGTTCACAGAACTGGTTATACTGGTATTATGAAAGTTGAACCAATATAACATACATTTACATATTTTATAAAAATGTATGTCTATATGAAAAACATGACCAGGGACCTGCCCAAAGCCTTGATATGGGCTTGTGCAAGCGAGGGGCTCTATGATTCAACCTAATTAGCTTCACAAAAAAATTAGCCTCAACGAAATGAATGTAAGACTGTATAACTTCAAATACTGAATGTTGCCAAATACCATGTTTGTGTGTACATGGGTGTGGTGTACGGGAACAAAAGACTATGAAATGTGGATTAAAGATCAGGAGGCAGATCAGGAGAGCCTTGGTTGTTCAATGAAAATATTTCCAGTCATACAATTGTAGGTTTTCTGTTTTGTTCTGTTTTTCCATTTGGTAGAGGAGAAGGAGAAGCAGGAAGAAGACAGGAGGGGAGAATACTGGGGATGAGAGGGAGAGGAAGAGCTGAAAGGGAAGAGAGAGAGGGTTGTCAGACAAGTAGGTGATGAGTAAAGTTCATGCAAAGCCAAGGAATTCAGAGGCAGTTTCCAGAAAGCAAGAGCAATTCTACTTGAGAGCACAGAGATGTCAGGTGAACAAAATGTTGGCTTTAGCAATGCAGGTTCATTAAAGAGAAAACCTTTTAGTAAAGTCGTGGGGCCAAACTCTACTGTCAAGGGGTAAGAAAGAAGTTGGCCCTGAGAAATTGGATCTAGTGAACAGAAGCTATTGTTTATTTTATTTAAAATATTGTTATATTTCAATTACAGTTGACAATATTATATGAGTTTAGTGTACTTCATAGTAGTTAGACATTTGTATACCTTAAAAGGACCCCTTCTATGAGCCTAGTACCTACATGTTAGCATACATAATTATTACAGTACTAGAGGCCTGGCGCACAAATTTGTGCACAGGTGGGGTCCCTCTGCCTGGTCGGCGATCAGGGCTCATTGGAGGTCTTGCCATGTCCTGATTGCTTCTGGTTGTGGCTGGCAAGCCAGGGGACGGGGCCGTGGGTGATTGGCCAGTGGGTGGGGATCTGGATGTTGGCCAGATGGGGGGGTGGGGAAGGGCTGCAGAGGTTGACCAGCTGGCCTGAGTAGGGGCCACAGGAGGTTGGTCAGCTGCAGGCGGTTGGCTGTGGGAGCACACTGACCAACAGGGGGTAGCTCCTGCATTGAGCCTCTGCTCCCTGGTGGGCAGTGCACATCATAGCGACCAGTCTTTCTGGTCATTCCGCTGTGATGGTTGCTTAGCTTTTATGATATAGATTATTGACTATATTCCCTAGGCTCTGCTTTACATCCCTGTGACTGTTTCATAACTGCCAATTTGTATTTCTTAATCCCTTCCCCATTGTCACCCAGCCCCCATCCTCCCTCACATCTGGCAACCGGAACCTGAGTTACTTTTCAATGAGTAATCCACTGTGAAACAATGCTCATCTATATGATTAAAATTTATGCTGTTTTTGTGAATCTTCATCTTTCAGTCTGAGATTTAGGTTTTTCTTTCTTCTTTTTTAACAGTGTCAGGTGGCTGTTTATGCTGCATCTAATTTTCTATGCTTCTTTCTCCTGAAAATAACATATCTGTAGCCCTTTCAGTGTGTCAGCTACAGTCAGAGCAGATTGAGCAAGTTCCATCAAAGACAATGGTGACTTAACTGTGTCTGCAGATAACACAATTGTTGGCTAAAAGAAAGACAATTGTAATGCATTTTAAACTCTGAGATTAGCCCCATGTCTGCTGTTGTGTAATTCCTCCATGCACAGTTGCGACTCTTAGGGGTGCGTTGGGATTGCACTTCACCACCTGTCCTACATGGGCTCTGCTACAACCTATTTTTATGTTCGTGTTCTTTGAAAAATGAACTGACCCTTGTAAATCCTTCCCACCTTGCCCCAGCCTTATCCTGGACTTCATTCTCAGAGAACAGGTCCTTTAGAGGTGGAGAGAAAGCTGCTTTGATGAGAAAATAAAATTCTTACCTGTTTTTTTCTCCTCAGTATAGGTTGGAGTAGTTTGTTACTTCTCTGCCTTTCACTGGATGGTTGGGCTTTTATTTAAACTCCGATGTGATGTGGCTGTTCTGACTTCTTAAAGTAACACACAAGCTTTAGAGTAATGTGAAACTGAAAGCACTGAGTAAAAAGCAGTGACTCCACAACCATAAGAGGAATTTCTGAATGCTATGCAAATGGGAGAGTACATGCATATTTATAGGATTTCTTAAGTTGTTCATGATGGATCCTCCCTTCCCCCACCTGGTCGGTGGAACATGATGTAACCTGCAGCCCGGAAATACCTGAGTGCTTAACCATGTACCTTATATGGACTATACATTAAGCCACCAATCAGCACCTGCCAAATACTCTAAGCCCTTGTTCCTAAGTACCTGAGCGCCTAACTATCCTATCTAGTAAAAGAGTAATATGAAAATTGACCATACCTCCACCAAACCCACAAACCATGCCACCAGCTAATCAGAAACGAGTATGCAAAGTAACCCAACCAAGATGACTGCAGCCATAGAGTGAGCTGGAGGGCTTGGGTTTCCCTGGCAATGGAGGAAGCCAAGCTTTGCACACACCCTGGCCGGACCTGGTCTCCACTCAAGGCTACAAAGTCACAATTATAGAAAATAAATAAATCTAAACAAAAATGGTGGCAGTCACGAAGCTGGAGAAAGCAAAAGGCTTGAGTTGCCCAGGCAATGGGGGAAGCTAAGCTTCCACAGCCCTGGCCTGCCTTGGCCTCTGCTCGAGGCTACAAAGTTTCAATTATAGAAGATAAATAAATCCCAACAGAAATGGCTGTGGCCATAGAGCAAGCAGGAGGCTTGGCTTCTCTCAAGGCTACAAAATTTCTATTATAGAAGATAAATAAATCCCAGATACCAGGGCCTCCACTTGGGTCACCAGGGAACATGGCTGGCCTGCAAAACCCCACAGATCCCTCGCCCAGGCTATCCCAGACCCCAAGGAAACCCCCACCCTGATCCGGGACACCCTGCAGGGCAAACTAGCTGGCCCCCACCCGTGCACCAGGTCTGTATTCTCTCTAATAAAAGAGAAATATGCAAATTGACCATCACTCCAATACACAAGATGACTACCTCCATGTGGACACAAGATGCCTACCACAAGATGGCCGGGAGGTGGGGGCAGCATTTGGGAGGCACCAGGCCTACAAGGGAGGGCAGTTGTGGGTGATTAGACCAGCAGGGGAGGGAAGTTTTGGGCAATCATGCCTGGATGGGAGTGCAGTTAGGGGTGTTCAGGCTGGCAGGGAGCAGTTAGGCCTCAATCAGGCAGGCAGAAGCAGTTAGGGGCAATCAGGATGGTAAGCAGGCAAGCAGTTGGGAATTGTAGTCATGGATTGTGAGAGGGATGTCCGACTGCCTGTTTAGGCCCAATCCTATTCCAAGATCGGCCTAAATGGGCAGTTGGACATCCCTCGAGTAGTCCCAGATTGGAGAGGGTGCAGGCTGGGCTGAGGGACACGCACCCTCATGCATGAATTTCATACACTGGGCCTCTAGTGTACCTTATATGGACCATACATCAATAAGCATGTGACCAGTATCATAAGCCCCTAACCTTCCTATTCCTCCCCTCAAAAGGAGTGCTTACCTTTGTATGGGTTGCTGCGCTTCCCTTGCATGATATCCCGGCAGGTCTTTCTCCAAGTAAAGCCTATAATACCTGATTTTCAGCTCCCAACTGATCTTTCATTCTGGTGCCGAAATGTGGGAAGGGCGAATGGGAACGCAAATGATCCCCAGACCATATTCTGAACATTTCAGGGAAGCAGTGGACAGTGGAAGCTGGACCCAGGTTAACTTCCTGAGTTTGCTCAGTGGTGCAGTTCTGGGTTAATTGGCCAGTCCAGTTCCCTCTTGAACCCTGCTGAGACCCCTGGGGATCTCTTCACCTCCCTCCCTGCAGTAGGCCTTCAGACCCAACTTGCCTCCTCCCCCTTTTTCTCTTCACTCCCTGTAACCTAGAGGGGCATTAGGGTCTCAGAGTTTCCTGTCTATTAAGCTACTCCTACTATGAAAGCCCAGGCACCTGGTCAGGAATACTCTTCTACTCCACAGGAAATGTGTCTCAGGGTGCTGATCTTAGAACCTTTGTCAAATATTCCCCCCTCCACCAGGTTCCCACCCCACCCTCCACCCCCTCCCCATCCCCCATTGTCCTCATCCATAGGTACAGTTTATGTTCAGTCTCTTCCTCCCTCCCTTTCCCTATAGTAAATCCCTTTTCAGATATTAAATCAGTTACTTAGCATTTTCTCATATCAATAATACCTCCACATGCCCAATGATACACTTTACACAAAAGACATTTCCAAAAAGGTCAACCAGCCTCATCCAGGCCTCACCCAAGGCACTCACAGATCAACACAGATCAACACCCAAGCCCTATACTAACTCAACACATCCAGATCTAAGCCTTCATCACTTGATTCAACAGACCCTCAAGTTCCCACAAAAGTTTCCAGCCATGTCCGAGAGGCAGCCGTGGGGCAGGGGCAGGCAAGGAGCGAGCTGTTCCGGGCCTGGCTGCTCCGGGCCTGGGCTCTGTTGCTCTGGTTTGTTCCATAACCAGCTGCTCCGGGTCTGGTCACCGCCGCTCCCAACCTAGTTGCTCTGGACCTGGCTGCTGCTGCTCCGGTCCTGGCCGCACCTGACCCGGCCGCTCCGGGCCTGGAAGCTCCGGGCCTGGCAGCTGCTGCTCTGGGCCTGGCTGCACCCGACCCGGCTGCTCCCAACCCGGCTGCTCCGGGCCTGGCCGCTCCCAGCCTGGCAGCTGCTGCTCCGGGCCTGGCCGCACCAGACCCGGCTGCTCTGGGCCCAGCTGCC